TATAATAGATTGGTCAGTAAGTTAAGGAGCATTAATAAATTAAAATTATACATAACTTGAACTATGTGAAAATTATATACACAAAAGCAACAAATAAGGTATGTCTGACAAAATTAAAATTTTATATGGGCTTGTCTATTACCAATAACTCAACAATGAAGAGAAACTTGAACCCAACATAGTACTGCTAAGAGAGACCCTATGTTGTTTTTGTTGCCCTTATTGAATGAACAGACAAAAATGGTACTGCACTATATTTTGAAGATAACCCGTTAGCCATCCTGTTCTTGATTGTTCTTTGCCAAACATAAGCCCGGAGGTATCATCCCTCAGCTTACAAAAAGACAAAAAATAATAAAATAATAATAATAAAATAATAATAAAAACATTTCTAGTTTTTTATGATTAATATCATTACATACTCTATAGGATAACTTTTTAAGTGAAAAATCTTGAGTTTGTGCAAAAAATTCTAAATTTATAAATACACTGTATACAAAAATTATTTGCAGATTAACTGTTTGAAACTTTTAATGTATTTCCTCATTCAAATAATGTATTTCCTCACACTGTCTCTGTAGACAGTGACAGGCTCCTATGCCTACTCTCCAAAGTGAAGTAATTAAAAGTAGCAGTTGAAAACTGTTAAGTTCATAAGAAAAATTGTACACAAGTCACAAAACAAACAGAAAGAATCGCTAGTACTTGTAGTACCTACAGATTAAATGTCAACTTTGCTATTTACCAAAAAAACTGGGAGAATTAACTTACTATTTGAGCCTTGGTTTTCTTATCTACTAAATGGAGACAACACACTTACAGTATTTCAATGATTAAATTAGTTAATTTTTTAAATGTTGGAACACTGGTTACAATACATGCTAAGTTCTTTTTAAATTACAGCAATCATTAATAGGATTACTAAGCTAATACACATTTAAAAGAGAATAAAAAGCAGTATGTTAAGATTACAGTGATTAGGAACACAAAATTCTTCATCACATCACTACTACTAAAGAATTTGAGAAAAGTATGATTTTCAAAGGAATGAACGACTTAAAAGCTTCAGTATTCCCATTGTAAAAATTTACCATAAGCTGAAACCTATAAACAAATAGTTATATGCTAAAGATTTACTGTAGTGTTGTTATAATAATAAAAAACTATTTTCGATGTTTTTGTAAACAAAGTTTTACTAAAACACAGTCATGCTCATTCATTTAAGTACAGTCTACGGCTGTGTGAGATGGGCGGTTTTAACCGAACTTACATGGTCCACAGAACCTGAACACTTTACTGGCCCTTTGCAGAAAAGGTTTGTGCACCCGATTCTAAGATATCTCCAAATTATGGCAATACATAGAAATGATATTGACATCTTTTCAAATGACACACAAATATTCTTTTCTTTTCTTTTTTTTTTTGGTACCAGGGGATTAAACTCGGGTCCTTGCACTTGCGCAGCAGGCAGTGAAACCACTGAGCTAAATCCCCAGCCCCTTCTTTTCATTTTATTTTAAGGAAAATAAGTTTAAATGTGATATTTAGACAAGAACTTGATAAAGAACATAATCATTACAAAACTATTTTCAACTAGGAGAAATCCCAGTTATGTATTTCTCTACTGCCAGAGTTCCTGGGTTTCAGATACACAAGTCCTTGTCCCACAACCACACCCTGTCCTTCCCATCAAAACGGTGCCCTGTTCTCAGCCTTCGTGCTGCTGATGCCTGTGCTCCATACACCCAAGAATACATGAGGCATTCTAAAAGCAGTATTTGTCTATAAACTTACACAGTCAACCCGATATGGTAAAAAGTCCTATCAAATCAACAATCATGTGCCACTTGGAGGTTTCCACCGAAGCAGTATCTTTAAGGGAATATTCTAAAAGTCAGGTCTGGTGGCAATGGCCTATAATTCCAGCACTCTGGAAAGCTGTAGGCAGGAACATCACAAGACTGAGCCTAGCCGGGGCAAATTAGTGAGACCTAGTCTCAAAATAAAACACTAAAACTGAGTCGGGGATATAGCTCAGTGCAAAGCCCTGGGTTCAATCCCCAGTGGTGGTGGTGGTGGTGGGAGTTGGGGGTATGAATGAACATTTTAAATGCTTGAAAGTGCTCCAAACTAAAACCTAATGAGAGAAGAAGGGATATTTAAGCACTAAAAGTGATTTTTCTATCAACACACTATTACCAAATACAAGCTGTATCATCCTTTTATCACTAAAAAGAAAACATGCTGCCTGAAGGCATGATGTTTATTCAACACTTACCATTATTTCAGGTAGGTTTAAAATGTGGAAAAATAATGCACCTTAAGATTTAAGAAGCAGTATTAACATCACTAAAGGTATTCCAAGTCAAAGGAAAAATGACTTGTCAATTATAGATACAGGTTAAATAATCCTGTAAAATTTCTCTTCCTGTAAAGATCAGGGCTTTTTGACCTTCTTAGTTAAACTTACATTCCCAAATTTACTCAGAGGTAATAATTACCTGTAGGACTTCCTTTTAACAAGGATTCCAATTGGTATTTATGATCAGAGAAGACTGAACATACATGAATAAAGTATGAGGACCTCAACACTAACATTTTCACTTAAAGGTAATGATTAATAGCCAAATTTCTATTTATTTACTGTTGTTATATTCAATACAAAGTTTACATATTTCAGATGATATCTGAGAAAAATTTATATAATAATACATTGGATTACCAGTAGTAACATTATACTTCATAAGATAAACAAATTTTCTGAAATTTTTGAAGAGATTAGTTATGATTATTATTTTAAAGGATTTCCATTTTTACATTATTTTAAAGGAGCTGAACATATCTAATATAAATCTATGTAAGATGCCAGGCACAAATATGATTATGTGGACATCAAAGTCTTTTTTTTTTTTTTTTGGTACCGGGGATCGAACTAGGGTCCTTGTGCTTGCACAGCAGGCGGCAAAACCACTGAGCTAAATCCCCGGCCCTCAAAGTCTTTTTTAAACATTTGATAAAAATATATTTTAAAATGTCTGTCGTAAACTTTACTAAAGGAAAGTTAGTAACAAAGATTAACAAAAAAGTTCAACCCCCGGTACCTAAATAAATAAATAAATAAATAAATAACAAAAAAGTGTGAATCAATTAAGTAGCAAAAAGAACTTTGTAAAGCTACCTAAATACTAGTTGTAAAACGGAGGGAGGATACAGTTTTGCAATCCCTCTAACATTTCTAGTAAAGTCAATGAGTTACGAGAACAAACTATTGACAGATTGGCAGGGAAAAAAAATGAATGTGTTCTGCTTTTTAAATTTTAAAAACTTCTGTTTTCTAGTATGGATTTTCTATTCACTTTTAGTTCTATTCTGTTATACAACTACAAGGCTACAATTTAATGTAACACAATAACCTAGAAAAGTCAAATTGAATAGTGACCTTACAAAGCTCTCAGGGAATGATCTGAGGTTCTCTATTAATTTTTCTTAAGTAATCATCTTCTATGTCTTTTAAATTTAATGTGTATGTTAGAAGGCAGGTAGGAAATATGCACTGTGACATAAAGAATTAATCTCCCATATACTGTACTGAAGTTTACTGGAAATATTTAACAAGAGTACAAAAGTAACTTTGTTGTTTATATTTTAACAGAATTTCATACTTATTTTCCTTCATTTTTTAAGTTTGCCGTATTGGTATTTTCTTTTATAGCTGTACTAAAATAATAAATTAGTTTATTAATGATTTCAAAGAAACTACAGGCATATGCATAAAATGCTTAAATCAGAGTAATGACCTCATTCAGCAGAAGCTATAATATGACAGGCTAAAGAAGACAAAAAAGAAGAAACACTTTCTTGAAGACAGTAAAGAAGAAAGAAACAAGAGAGTAGTAGGGATATTTGAGCTTTATTTTCAATGTTTAAACTACATTACATTTTAACTACACTCAAATGCTTTCCAACATGGCTGCCAACTTGAACTAATTAAAAATGTATTTTTACAAAGGCTATGTAAGTTCCAATACAAAGAAGAATCTCTTTATAAGGAGGAAAAAATATTTTTCCATTGTTAGGGTTTAGACTACTTGTTAACAAAATGTTTCCCTTTTAGTTAAAAAAAAAAAAAAAAAAGGACACTAACAGCATGGATTACACAAACACTCATTTCATTTCAAAGAAATGGGTGTGTGTGTGTGTGTGTGTGTGTGTGTGTGTGTGTGTGTTGGCTTCATGTGCTCATGCCATAAACATATTTTAGGTCTAAAAATATATCACTCTAGTAAATAACCAAAATGGGAATACAAAGTAGTTTACAAAATACAATAAATTGCTAATACAGCTTCAAAATTTGATGGGAGAGAAAAAATGTCATCCTGAAGAACATCCAATAGACCATAATTTGATTATATATTAGCGAAAGTTCTACAAAATGTTTCTTCAGGATTATCTATATATAACTGTATCGTAACTGCCACACAATTGTTAACATGCTATTTTTGTTTTATATAACAGCAAAAAGTAATGTCTCTATTAAGTTTTAATTTAAGAGAGTACTTTGAAAACAATCCACTGTAAAGGGCTAAATTAAATAAGCCTAAGAATACTCTTTAACCGAGTTAAATTCTATATTTCCATGTTCAAGAAGAGTATCACCAGCTTTTTACTTTTTATTAAAAAAATCACAGCTACAAATTCAGGGCTTTAATATTGTTAGCATTATTTCAAAATGTTTCTTTTTCACATTTACCAATTTTAAGTAAGTTTGTAAGATTCTAACCTCATGAAAAAAGGAGATAAAAAGGCACACTAAGTAGGTAATCCTGCCCTCTAGGCTCCATATCATATTGTAAAGGTATTGTTATTGTATAAGTTTTCACTGGCCGCTATACAATGCATTATTTGGTTACAAATTGAAATTTGAAGCATTTCTTCAGTAAAGAAGGCAGAAGTACATCATTTAAATAAACATTCATATTTATTAAATGTGTAAAACTTACCCGTCTTCGACAAAAGGGGAGGCCTTGGGCAATGATGCTAATGCTAAATATCTTCATCACAGTTTGATGTGGTAGAGGCTCTTTTGCACTTTTAAGATCAACAGGAACCAAGCCATGGTTTAGAGTAGCTTTTCCCGGTTTTGACATTTTAAAACTCCTCTTGGTTGATGAATACTTTCTACATGTAATATAGGCACATTACTAAAAACTCTACCCACCAAATTAAATATATATACACATTTTTAAATGATACTTTTAAAAGGCTGAGAACCCAAGGCCTGCTGCTTTTGTCTTTCAACCTTCTCCTACCAAATGTCCTGACCTGTCTGAGGCTTGGTGAAGTGCAAACTATCCTAGAATAGCCAGGAATTATAAACTACTGAAGTGAAAGCTCCTGCTCCTGCCAGTCAAACAGCTGGTGAACCTCCCATGCAGTCAGTAAAGCGAATGTGACCAAAGCAGGGCTGAGCTGTAGAGTCCCTTTTAATATTTCTCCAACTGATTAACCTAGGTGCTCCCCAGAAAGTGAAAGTAACTACGTTTCTTTACCAAAGCCAAAATAAAACACTTAACATTGTATCATCTCTTGTATATATTATTAAGTCAACAATATTAACAAAATATTAAGTTAATATTTTAGGAATACTTTAATTGTCAAATTTGAGTGTTTATGCATACTAAAAAATACATATTTATCTGTTCTACCTTAACTATATTAAAGTGAGCATTATTTTCAAGTGTTCATCTTGATGGTGCTCTAACATACTGTTCCTTATCTTGCACTCATTAAGACAGTAAACACACTCTAGCTGTCTCTATTAATAACCACTCATATTACTCTTCCTACTAGAAACTTTGTTGATTGCAGTTCAATCTGTAATTTCATAGATTTTGCTTGAAAATATTGACAGTCATGTGACTGATTAAAGATATACACAAAAAGCTGTCTATAAAGTTGTCTGTGATGGCAAGTAATAAAGTCTTTTGTCACTCACTGACAGGAATATGCTCTGAATAACGCAGTGTTAGAAGAATCACAGAATGTGCTTACTAAACTAAGCTTATGTCACTAGAAGATAAGGTCTTATGGTTCTGCCTTCATACAAGCATTGCTTTACCACTGAAGTATCATACAGCATAACTCTACAGTAAAGTGGGTAATAACTAACGAGCCCACTGCAAATCCCTGGTGCTCAAATTCTACAACACAACATAGATAAACTTTCCTAAAACACAGAGAAGCAATCTGGGGTATAACTGACTACTCAAGGACTTTCAATAGTTTGCCAATACCAATGACAAAATGTGGAGGTAAAGGCTCACCTCAAAGTGGCCCTAAACACATTTTTCTCACATTACTTCAAATACTTCCCTAAAATAACCGCTTACACAAGTGTTAATTTTTATACTACCTTCTATAGTTAAAGTTCATGAATTAGATTGTTAAAGACAGGAAAAAAACCTTGATGTGAAAATCAACAGGACATTAGAAAATAAATGTGGACTTTCACAATGTTTAGTTAACTAGTTTGATCTACTCTTCCATTTTTTTCTTCCAATAGCTGATCTCTCCTTCCAACAGCTTTTGTCTTAATTCCTTTTTTTTTTTTTAAACTTTGGAAAGATCTACCTTACTATAAAGTGGGCTACAGAGAAGACAATTTACATACAAGAAATATTCTCAATCCCCCTGATGCCATGATCTTAAGAGTAAACTTTTTCTGGGCTGGGGATGTAGCTCAGCAGTGTGGTGCCTGCCTGACAAGCAAAAGGTCCTGAGCTCAATCCCCATTACCAAAAAAGTAAACGTTTTTTTCAGGCCACAATTTCAAACACAGAAGTGCAAAATCATTTGCCAAGGTGATATTTTTAGTGATACAAAAGTCAGTTTTTCCAAAGAAGACGTACACATGGTCAGTAAGCACACAAGAAGATGTTCAATGTCACTAATTATTAGGGAAATGCAAATCAAAACCACAATGAGGTAAGACTTCATATTCATTAGGATGGCTATTCCTTTAAAAAAAGAAGAAAGAAGAAGAAAAGACTCCCCACCCCCCCCAAAAAAACAAGTGCTGGAAAGGATATGGGAAATTGAAAGCCTGTGCATTACTGGTGTGAATGTAAAATGAATGCAGCAGTATGACAGCTCCTCAAAAAAGTTAAAACATTGAGGGCTGGGGATTTATGCTCAGTGGTGCCTCGCCTGCCTTGGGAATGCAAGGTACTGAGTTCGATCCTCAAGTTAAACACTGAATTATCGTATGATACAGCAGCTCTTTTAGATATACAATATACCCAAAAGAATTAAAGCATGGACTTTATTTCCTGCAGGGGATAGCTGTACACCCATGTTTCAACAGCATTATTTACAACAACCAGAAGATGAAAGCAACCTAAATGAACACTGACTGATTAACAAAGTGCAGTATGGAACGTAATTTAGCCTTTTCAAAGAAGGGAATACTGACCACACTGCAACACAAATAAACCAACCTCAAAGACATGCTCAGTGAAATAATTCAGTGAAAAGAGGATAAATACTTCACAATTCCACTTAAATGAGATTATTTAGAATAAACTCAGAGATAGAAGAGTGGTTGCCAAGAAACAGGGAAAAGCAAACGAAGGAGTCAGTGTCAAATTGGTACTGAGTTTCAGAGAAAAATGAAAAACTTCTGGGTACACAAAGTGGTAACAGTTGTCCAACACTATCAGTGCTTTTAATGCCACTGACTTGCATGCTTAAATATGATTAATATTAAATTTTATGTTACAGATATTCAACCGCAATAAAAACATTTTAAATTTTAAAATAAATGAAAACAGAACTGCCATCACCAAAAAAATCTCCTCAGAGATCTAGGGTTAGGAGAGAGGAGACAACATGGGGATACTAGGAAGTTATAAATTTACAAGACAGGAAAAGTGAGATGATCCTAAGATGACCATGTCTATACCCACCCCCGGCCTGTTCTCACTCATCAGAACGTCACCAGCCTCACAAGTGGTCTCAGAATTTCCTCTGATGTTCACTTTATTTCCTAACATAAGACTAATATTTTTGTTTGTATAATATAATCTTCAGTCATATCATCTCTCATTTAAAAATTCCTTTTTCTAAAGTAGCTGCCAAGGAATAATCCTCCTCCTAGTTACTAGCTATCACTATCTACTTTGATAATATTACAATATAGTTTTATATGGACTGAGATTCTTTACTCTCAAAAAAAGTCTTACCCTTTCTCCTCCCTCTCACCTCCTCTCTATTTTACTACTAGGGATTGAATCCAGGGCCTCACACATGCTCGGAAAGTACTCCACCACTGAGCTATAATCCTAGCCTTCAATGATAACCTTTTAAATCCAATAGTTAATTAACTTCCCTCCAAATTCCTCTTTCTGAACCACAAAGAAGACATAATTTAAATTATATGATACTCTAATGCTGAAAAATAAAATCACTACATTTTATACTTTTAACATTCATTGGCATAGAAAGACAATCAAGCCAGGCTCGAGGACACACAGCAGTGTGGCAGGCTGAGGCAGGAGGACCAAAAGTCCCAGCCCAACCAACCCAGGCAGCTCAGGAACTTAGTGAAAGCCTGTCTCAAAATAAAGAATAAAAAGTTGAGTGTGAAGGTCCTGGGTTAAATCCACAATACCACGCCAAAGGGAAAAAATGATGGACTACAACCTTAATTTCACTTAATCCCTTGGTTAATGAAGATAACATAATTTTTTTATTTTTAAATTTAAGAATCTCACAGAACTTTAAGGTCATATATATTTACATGTAGATATTTTAAAGAGAAGGCAGATCTCTAATCTCTTAAAAGAGACCTCTAGCTAAAGATCTGTTCCTAAGGGGGAAATGAGATTTGAATTGTAAAGAACTTGGACTGGGAAAATTAAAATTAACATCAATAGTTTTCATTCCCTTGTTTCTAAGGAATTTAAAATTAGTATAAAACAAAACTTTCCAATTTCACATTTACAATTATAAGAGAAAGCAGGAGTGAAAGTGAAGGTTGTGTTTTATACTAGACACCAACTGATGACATTCTAAAGCAACTCCTTTTTAAATTGGTAAACAGCTGCCCTCAACTGGATAGCAGAGGGCATTACAACTCCAGTAAACCCAGCACTAAATGCAAGTGTCTGTTACAACATACTTCTGTTAAATAAAAAAAGAAGAGGCAATTTCTGTGACTATGCAAAGTGACTACTATCTTACAAATGTCTGTACAACAAATTTCATCTTTTTTAGAAGACTTGAGTAACAGTACTTCTAAAGCTATGTTTTCAAATGGTATGGAAAGGTGTAAAACACCAAGCACAGAAAACCCTAGTCTTTGAGGGAAATCAAAGACAGTGTATACAAGAACTCCAACTGTTAATACTAAAGATTAAAGTCTTAAATGTCAATCTACTTTTAAAAATAGCTAAGATACATGCTGTTAATTATAACCTCCACTACCAACCTCTCCCCCACTCCCCCACTGAAACTCTTTTATTTTTTGGGTACCAGGGATCGAACTCAGGACCTTGAGCCCACAAGGCAGGCACGGTGCCACTCAGCTAAATCCCCGGGCACCCAACTGAAACTCTTAAACAGTCAAGCTCCACAAATACTAGAGTATGGCATGGCGGGCAGGAACATGCCTTCGATAACCCTGGCCCTGCCAAGTAAGTATGACCCCAATCCCTGTGTGCTTCCACTTCACCTATACAGTATCTACCTCACATGACTGTGCTGAGGATGAGGTACTGTTAGCACACAGAATAATGCCACATACCCAATAAGTGCTCAATACTGTCAGCTGTCATTATGATTACTACTCATACGATTATTAGGACTAAAAAATCATACAGTGTTTTATAGATCACATGTCAATTTCTAAAATCACTAAGAAAGCAAGCAGAGAGTCTAAAATTCATCTGTAATAATCTGGGAATAGAATATTTTAAAACATAGCATCTACATGTTTCAGAAAGATTTTTATTAATTCTATCAAAATTTTCACCTAAAAATGAAGCTGTAATATCTCAGCTGGGGCATCTTCACATTTTAAGATTGCAGTTCTCAAATATCATCCAGGAAGAGTTCAATAATAGAGAACTTATGGTACACAGAAGGTCTCTCGATAAGTTAATTTATTTTGCAGTTGTCAC